CTCTCTCTCTCTCTCTCTCTCTCTCTCTCTCTCTCTCTCTCTCTCTCTCTCCCTCCCTCTCTCTCTGCCTCATTTTCACACGCTATCTTTTTAGTCTCACATTCGGACATACACATGCATATATAACAGTTCATTATTATGACAGGTATGCGCAGTGAATTATAAATGCTTCAGCTGTTTGTTTTTTTTAATGTATATTGTTGGGCACATCTTATTTTGCACGGGAGTTCGTTCCATATCTGGGTACCAAAAAAACAAACAAAAACAAACAAACAAAAAGGAACGCTCACCGTAAGTTTTGTAATGTAACAAAAATGAAGAATAAGATTGTCAGAGGCTGATCTAAGGGCTCTGGGTGGATGATATAATTCCAGGAATTTTTTAAGATAAAAAGTTGCAGTATCATTAATACATTAAAACAGAAAACGGCAGTTCCGCATTTTATCCCTTCAGTTACAGGCAGCCAGTGTAGTTCTTTCAGAATTGGTGTTACGTGCGCTGATTTCTTTTATTTCATTGTCAATTTTGCTGCTTCATTTTAGAGTACTCGTAACTTTGATAATTTTTCGGCCGAAAAACCCGATAAAATCAAATTTTTATAAAGTCAGAGTTATTATTAATGTCCTGGCTGTTGCTTAAGTAAGATATTTCCTTACAATGCCAATTTTCTTAACTTGAAAATAGATACTTTTGCTGAGCTGGCTAATTTGGGATCACATAGACATATCATAATCCAACCGAACTCCTAGATTTTAAAAACTTCATTTTGAACGAATGGTATGGCTATTGGTATCAATTCGTAGTTCTGGGAGATTTCTAATGGCTCTTGTATTTCCAGGCAAAATTATTTCTGTTTTGTCATCATTTAGTTTCATTTTATTACCACCACCACCACAACCACCACCACCACCACCACTACTATGGTCATCAACATCATCACCATTTCGTCCACCACTCCTACCAAAAACCACGAGACCATCATTCGTCTGATCAACATAATAAAGGAAAAGGGTGAAAATTCTCGGAGGTCCCGAGTGCAAGTTGCTCATGTTAAAGATCCCTTGGTGGTCTAAAATTGATAACAGTTGGCTCCACCGCCACCCCGGCAACATTTAAAATGTCCTCCCCACTGAAAAATATTTAACTTGTTATGCACGCTCATATGACCTTATGCAGTTGCGAGCGTCGTAAAACACCTACCAAATTAAAGAAAAAAAACCCTCGTCTGATCAACGTAATAAACAGAATAATAATATTTCCAACATGTCAGATAAAAAGAAGACAACAATCCATCCACCTTTGCCAGAAACCATTCTACCTTTTGGTTTAGTTTCAGTGGGAGTTTTACGTCACTTGCAACACAATTAGACCTTGCATGTCCTATCCACCTCCCAGTGCTTCGAGATACTCAATGTGAACACTGAACAAAAGACCTATCTGCCTTTTGCTCTAACTTCAGTGGGAGTTTTATTTCCCTTGAAACACAAGGTCCTGTCTACCTACCTGTGCTTCGGGATACTCAATGTGAACACTGGACACATAGTTTGACCGCCCACCGTGAGCCCTATGAGAACGAGGACGAGAAGAATCCACTTCTGAAACAGACCGAAGTGGCCGATTCGGGCGAGAACATCGTCGAAAGATTTCAGGTCCCCGTCATCGCAAAGGTCTTTCTCCATGTCCGAAGGCATGCCGGGATGTCGTCTTCACAGGCAAAACGAGCACGCCTCTCTGTTTAAGACAACAACAAAAATTGATAAAAAGCTAGTCGCAACAAATGTATCTAATACGATAATGATGATGATGATAATTTTAGAAATAATAATGACAATAATAAGCACAAGAAGAAGGAGGATTCTTCTACTAATAGCTCGTCCCTCAATGTCTGTCGATGACCAGTGCATCCGCAGAGGTGAACATTAATCCAGCTAAAATGAAAACTTTGAAGAATTAAAAGTTACAATGACTTGTGGCTTCTGCTGTGGCCGACGAGACCAATTCTGACAGTGAAACGTTTGCCACATTTTGAAATTTAAAGGCTTTACTTCCACTTAAGGATTACGCAGCTTGTGGGCTTCTCTCTTGGTTTCAGCATTTATTATTCGTGAAGCAAGCCTCATGTGATATGTGAGGCAGCGCGGTGGAATCAGGCTCTCGTCAATTTTTGGGCATATTGAGTTATTGGTATCACCTTAAAGCTGTTCATTTGTCTTGCTTTCAATGAAAAAATTACCCATCCATCTTCAATAGAAGATGAGATATTTTGGATTGAACAAAGTGGGGGTTCCTGGTTTAAGAGGTAAAATTGGCGAGAAAATGGCTGCCAAAGCTTGGTAAATTCCAAAGCTGAAGAGTCCAGGGAAACTGTAACTTTATATTTT